GCCCCTCCACTTTTACGCCACTGGCCTTGCGCGGCAGTGATCCGCCTGCTGCACGCGCGGTTTTCGGCTCGCGCGTGTAGCGCCCTCCATTTTTCCCAGCCTGATCAGCCGATCGTTATTGACAGTACCGGTGTTCTTGTATGCGCCGTGCGTGCATTCGAGCAGCCTCACCCTGTCTTCGGAGATTTCGTGGTCATTCACGGCCTACTCAGGGCCTTTAGGCTTTTATTGTACACCACCCCTTGGTCACCGGACTTGGTTTCGATTCCCTTCTCTCCTCTTCCCCCTTCTCCTCCGCGTCCTCCTCCCTTTTCCTCGACTTAGTCTGTGTTTTTTGTTTGGTCTGGCGCATCCCGTCCTGACGGAGGGCATTCTGCAGGAAACAGGGGGCTCTGTGCAGCGAGGTCGATGCACGCGTAACAGCGTGCGCTCGTCGAGCGAGCTTGGTACATACTCTCATTCGTTCCCCGCGTCCTCCTTTCTCCTCTTTTCGCCTGTGTTTTTTTACTTCCGGGATGTTTGCTGTAAAGTAACCACTGGTCAGCCTCTGCCGCGTATCGCCACGGAATGCACGGATTACTCGCGAGATGTCGCGGGCGTCCCTTCCCTCTTGCACCTCCTTCTTCTCCGAAAAAGAGGGGTCTTCGATGTTCGTCCCCACCCCCTAAAGCCGTCAAGATCACATCTTGGGGCCCTCTTGGGCTGATCTTGGGCGCTGTTGGGGCAGTTTGTTTGAAGGGGGGGGCATTTGGGGCTCCTCTTAGGGCTCTCGTGAGCCATTTTGGAGCAATCGGGAGGCCTCCAAAGCACGTCGGACGCGAAAAGGCGGGGAGACAAACATCATTGATTGCCTTATGTTGTTGAAAGGTGCTGGCCTCTTGGGGGGGTCCTGAGGGGGGTCCGAGAGTACTCGAAACCGTCTTGTGGTTCTCGCCGGACCACCTGGATGTATGTTGGCAGCTATCGTGAACCATCTTCGGATATCTTGAGCCGCATCTTGGGCACTAACCCACCTGCCCCCTCCCCCGTCCAGACCAATGAGAGGGGAGGGGGAGGGTACCCATCCCCGAAGGGAAGAGGGCTGCAGAATAGAAAATACAGACCCCGTTAAACCACCTTAGCCCAAAGGGCTGGTGGGATTCGAGGAGTCAGTTATCATGACGTGACGTGGGAGTGGGGACTGGACGATGTCTAGCAGCACTGTGGATGCAACTACGGCTTGCCCTGGTGCGCACCGAAGGTTGCTAGCATCAGCGACAGCACCAACAGAGCCGTCGGAGGATACATCAGAAGAGCCACGCGCACCACCACCACCCACGCCAAACGTGCGAGGGACGACGACTTGACTTCGCTATATGTATTTCGCAGCACACTGGAGATGCCAGCAGGATTGCAAACGGACCTGCACACAGATGGGCCCCGCGCGCCGCGAGCTGGAAACCACCACCTGCACGACTAGAGAGACCAGCCCAACGCGAGCACGGAGAACAATGGGAGCAGGAGGAGGAGGGGAAGGAGGAGGAGGAGGAGGAGGAGGAGGAGGGGGAGGGGGAGGGGGAGAAGGGGGAGGAGGGGGAGGAATGGGGAGGAATGGGGAGGAGGAGGGGGAGGAAGGGGACCACGAGATTGTGAAGCTGATGGAATCCACGGGCATGGTGAGCCCAGACGCAAGGCAGTCCGACGACAGTGGTTGCCAATGGTGGCTGGCAGTGCATGCGGCACTCAGACATGGCACGGGTCAGAGGGCAAATGGCTTCAACCCGCTATGGGATGCCACGACGCGGACAGCACGAACTGATGGCGCCGACCCCACCCTCCCCCGCGGATGCTTCCGGGGGGGCCGCTCCCGGCGGCACCGCGCGCTCGCCTCGCCTCGCCGCTGGTCTTCCTTGTTCCTTCATGCCCTCCTCTTCCGCTCTGTTCTCATGTTCGTCCCACCTCCCCCCCCCTCCTACTCCATCGCTGCTGCCTCATCATCACAACGATATCCTCTGCCTGATCCCCTTCCGGGTCCCTCTTCATGCCTTCTTCCTCCTGAGCCGCAAATGTTTCACACCCGCGATACACCACAGCGGGGAGGACGTGTGAGTATGTGGGTTAGGCGAGGTTAGAACATCAGCTGAACAAAAAGGATGTTGGTGGAAGCCGTTCGTTAAGGCATGGCAGCAAAGTCAAACAACCATACGGACGAGCTCGATATTAGCAAGCGAACGAAGACATTCCCATTTGACGGAAAGCTGACTTTCATGCAAGTTGCCAAAACACGTACTTGGTGGTAATTTGCTCGGGCTGTGCATTGCCATGCATAATGCAAGGAAACGATTAAAAAATGCCCCCCCCCCCCCCTGGACCCCCCAAAATGAATAAGCGGGGCGGATTCATAGAATTCAGCCGCCAGTTTTTTGTTTTTTTATCGTCCGCCCCCCGGCGTTTGCTTTTGCCCCTTTGGGGGAACTGATTTTCTATTCATCCTCCTTCGCTCGCTTGATCACCCGCGGCCGCGGGGGGAGGATTGCGGAGGGGGGACGGGGTAATTAGGGAGTAGTTGAGGGAAGGGGTTTTCGAAGAGGCGCTTGATCATCCTCGTCCTTGCGGACGGCCGCCGGTCGTCCTTGCGGACGGCCGCGGCGATTGGGAGGTGGGAGGAGGAAGGGGAGGAGGGGGGAGGACAAGCTAGGTGCGCTCGCGTCATATCTGACAGCCTACCCCTCCCTCCCATCCCTGACCATGGCGTAGATCCCCCCTCTACTCGCACAGTCGGATGTCGAGCAGGGCAATGAGCCCGAAAGGGTACGCGATGCATTGTAAAACACGGCGTGGCATGGTCTTGAAGAGCACCGCAAAGCGTAGTATGTCACAGCATGGCATGTCGTGGCGTAGTGGAAAATTGCATCAGAAATATTTCCAACGCAAAGCATGGCATCGCACAGCGGCCCCGAACATAACATTGCATAGCATGGCGTTGGAGATCAGAGCGTAGCATGGCAGAGCACGACGTGGCACGTAAGCACTCCTCCTCCTCCTCCTCCTCCTCCTCCTCCTCCTCTTCCTCCTCCTCCTCCTCCTCCTCCTCCTCCTCCTCCTCCTCCTAATTATTCTTCCTCCTCCTCAATTGCGAGGACGTCCGAGCGGGAACCGCCGCGTGGTTCATTATCTCCATGTCCTGCCTGCGCTGTCCTTGCCACGCACGCATTCATCGTTTCCCTGGGTGCCGCCACGAGGAACGAGGGGCGCATCGAACGAGCAAGGGCGCCTGGCCCCTTACGACGCTTCCCTCAGGCTCAGATCGCGGACGAGGAGGAGGAGGAGGAGGAGGAGGAGGAGGAGGAGGAGGACGAGGACGAGGACGAGGAAAAGGAGGAAGAGGAGGAAGAGGAGGAGGAGGAGGAGGACGAGGAAGAGGCGGAGGAGGAGGAGGACGAGCTCGCCCTGAAAAATCACCCCGTCCCCCCCCTTGGCCCCCGCGCCCTGGATCGCCACCCCGTGCCCCCCCCCTGGCCTTCCAGGCAACCCGGAATTGTCAGCCCCCCGTCAGCCTGCCCTCCCGCTACTGCGGGGGCGAGAAGGCCCGCGAAACAATTTATTGAATCGTCCGCCCCATGTTAAAAAAGAAAAAATCGTCTCCCTTCATTACAGTCTTGCGTCGTGCGCCAACGGCCACAGTCATGCGAGCATATCAGCAAGTCGCCTCGTTCATCGGATTTCGAGTTGTACAGTTTGGCCTGCGTTGCCGTTCAACGTTATAGGTAGTAGCTTCCGGCCCACCCCGCCACCGCACCTGGGTTGTAAGTCAGAGGCATCCTGGATGATTGCGGGGATCTCTTGGAAGGCCTTTTTCGGAAGCATCTTGGAGGGGGTGTTGGGGTGCCTTGGAGCTTCTTACGGAGCCGTTTCTTCCTAAGCCGAGCTTGTCGGACATCGATCAAAAAACGGCAGCGTCAAGCAGGCCCCCTTCTGAATACCGAAAAGTCGCACCAGAGGGTACGTTTCAGGATCACAATCGTCATCGTCTTCGTCGCCCTCCTCACTATCATCATACACCAGCATCATCAGCATAATCGTCAGCAACATCCCCCACAGCTATCAGCAACCTTATCATCACCACCATGTTCAACATCATGGTCATCATGTGCAATACCATCAACATCGTCATCCCCACCACCATCAACAACATCAGCATCATCGTCACCATCAGCATCGTCATCATCTTCATCAGTATCATCAACCGCATCATCATCATCATCGGCAGCAGCAGCATATTCATCCTTATCAACCGCAGATTCAACATCATCGTCACCATCAGCATTATCATCATCAGCACCGTCATCATCAGCGTCATCACCATCATCACCAGCGTCATCACCATCAGCATCATCAGCAGCATCTTCATCACCATCAGCATCACCCTCATCATCATCATTTGCAGACTCATCTCCATCATCCGCATCATCATCATCATCATCATCATCATCATCATCACGATCATCATCCTAATATCCCTCCTCTTCGTCCTCCTCCTCCTCCTTTGGCTCAAGTCGGCATTCTAGCTCACGCAGCGCGCGCCTCGTTGGGCCCGCCCGCGGCGCCGCTAATGCCTCCGACGGCAGACGACCGCCGCGGCGCCCTGGAGGCGGCGCGCGGCGCTCTCCTGGCGGCCCATGCCGCCAGCGGCCTCGCGGCAGGCACGCCTTGCTCGGGCGCGCGGCTGCTGCGCGCGGCCGAGGGCCTGATGCGTTCCGCGATCGCCGAGCTGGCGGCCCCGCAGACGCACCCTCCCCCGCTGGCGCTGCTGCGCCTGCCGCGTTTCCTCGGAGGCGGCGCAGGCCTCGCGGCCGCAGGGGGCGGCGTGGCGCTGATGCGGGCGACGCCAACGGCGGCGACGCGCGGCAGGACGAGGAGGGGCGGGGCGCTGTCGCGGCCACCCGCACACCGCAGGGCGCGGCGGGCCCCTGCGGGATGCGGCGGCTGGCGGCGACGGCGTGGGAGGTGCGGGTTCCGGCATGGACGTGGACCTGCTGGCTGGCGGCCTCCCCATGCGCGACTCGGCGCCCGCGGTGCCTGGGCGCGCGTCGGCCGACGCTCCTCCAGTGCGGCAGCGGGCGGTGTCTGCGGAGCCAGCTCGCGGAGCTGTCGCCGCCATACCCTCGTCTGCTTCCAATTTCGACGACGAGTTCGTTGACGAGCTCTGCGTCGCGGCCCCCTCGGGGCCTGCTGCTGGTGCTGCCGCGGGCGCGGTGGCGTCGGTTGGCGGGGTGATCGCGGCCTCGGCGGTCAAGGTCGGGCTGCACGGCGACCTCAGGGAACTCGACGTGCGCGAGCGAGCACGGCGCTTGTTCGAAGGGGGGAAGGCAAGCTCAGCGGCGGCGGACGACCTCATTGAGAGCTGTCGGCGGCGGCAGGCGGCGTCGAGCGGTCCTCCGACGTCCTGAGCTGGGTAGGCCCGTTCTCCTTCCTGGCGGAGGTGCTGCCGCCGCTGCTCCTCCGCGCCGTGGTCCTGGAGGTACTCTCCTCGTGGTTGTACTTCACGATCCACGGGTTGCACTTCACGGTCGGGGGGTCCAGATCTGGTCAGGTCCAGCGCTGGCCCCCCGCTGACGCTTGTGGTGCAGCGAGTCCGGGTGGTGGCGACGACCACCCATGCATGCGTTTTGGCAGGGGTAGTGTGAAAAAATCCTCCTCCTCCTTCTCCTTTTCCTCCTCCTCCCTCCTCTCCTCATCCTCCTCCTCCTCTCCTTCCTCCTCTCCTCCTCCTTCTCCCCTCCCCTCATCCACGCCTCCTCCCTCCCCATCCCCCCGCCCCCCCCCCGGCCCCTCCTGGCGGAGAGGCATGCTGCAGCTCCTCCCCGCGGGCGACTCTCGCTGGGCGCCATTGCCGCCGCGGAGTGGCTCGCGGGGCCCCCCCCCCCCCCCTGGGCAGCGACGCGCGCGTCCCCCCTTGCCCTGGCGGGCGCGCGCGTGCCGGCGGGAGGGAAGAGGGAAAAGGGAGGAGAGAGGGTTGGAGCCCAATCCGCCTCCCTCTCCCCTCCTCTTTCTCTCTCTCTCTCTCTCCCTCTTCCTCTCTCTCTCTCTCTTTCTCTCTCTCTCTCTCTCTTTCTCTCTCTCTCTCTCTCTCTCTCTCTCTCTCTCTCTTTCTCTTTCCTCATACCTCCTCCTTTGTTTTCTCTCTCTCTCTCTCTCTATTTCTCTTTTTTGTGTCTCTCTCTCTCTCTCTCTCTTTGCCCCCGCGCGGCGACGCGGGCGGAGCCGCGCGCACGTTGGCGGGAGAGGGGGAGGCAGGAGGAGGAGGGAGAAGGGAGAAGGGAGGATTGGCCGCCACCAGGCGTCGCTAAATGATCGATATCCGTTTACCCCGGCCACTCGCGAGGAGGAGGAGGAGGAGGAGGAGGAGGGGGAGGAGGAGGAGGAGGGGGAGGGGAAGGAGGAGGAGGAGCTGAGACAAGCCAACATGCACCACCGACGCTGCAACAAGCCCTCCCGCCCTGCGCCACCTGTTCACTCGCCAGCAGGCATGGTGTGCCACTGCTGCGAGAACGCCCTTCTGGAAGGCGAGGGCCTCACGGGCCGCAATGCGGAGGTCCTTCTGATGTGAGAAGCTCGCATCACAGATAATCCGGAGAGGGAAAAAACACAGACACCACGAATCGTCGATCTCCAGGAAAACATGGGAAAATATGGGCAGTAGGGGGGGAGACAAAAACCCAGCCCATATGGGAAAAGATGGTGAATCCTGTTACGTGTGTGTATTTATTGGTGTGTCCCAGGGCCCGCTCAGATAAGAATATGAAGGCCGCAGAAGAGCGGGCCCGGTTGCGCTGGCGCTCGCGCGCAAGCTGCCCGCAGAAGGCCGCGCTGGTAGGCGCCCCCTTTCTCCAGGCGGTGTGCCGAGCGGGCGGCCCGCGTGGGCCGCGGCGGAAGGCTTCTCTGTGCACTACTGCGTAAGACCCGCCTCTTCTGGACGCAATATTACACAGAGAAACCGGACAACCGTCTCGAATGGGTACCCATTCTTTTCCGTACCCAGTCTTCGAAATGGGTACGGGAAGAATGGGTACGATGCCCAACAACAAGGCTTGCCCATTCTGAACAGGATTCGCTGTCCACGCCGCCGCGGCCTGTGTCCATTCGGGACAGAAGGCCGCCTGCCCAACAGCGGCCGCTGCCGGTTTGGGGCAACATTTGCTGTTGGGCATTGCACCCATTCTTTCCGTGCCCATTTCGGGCGTCCAAATTTCTGCTCGTCTCTCGCATGTTCAGCTTCAGCCGCACACTGACACAGAGCACTACGGTTAAGTCGGGCCCGTCCCTCTGCAGGAGGAATACTCAAAAATAGTCAAAACATAGTCTGGGGACTATTTTTCGAGTATTGTTTGACCAGTTTGGGAATATGTTTAGAGTATGTTTTATTTTTCGTCGAAAATCCCCCTGTAGGAGGGGGCACGCCCGACTTAAGACTATGGTCAGGAAGGTTCGACCGTAGTGCTCCGCCTTGCGGCCCGCGCCCCGGGGTTCGCGCATCGGGCCTGGCTGGCAGCGGGAGGTTGCGCGCGCTCGGCGGCGGGACGCTGGAGACGCGTGGTGATTCGCGAGGTCCCTGTCCTTATGCCCCCCGTCCCCCCTCCGAAAGCACTGCGCTGTAGACGCCACGGTCAGGAACCTTTGCTTAGCGCGTCGCGCCTCCGGCTCTTCTGGCCCACCACGCTTCGGCGCGGCACGCCAAGCACGTCCCGTGTCCTCAGGCGTCTGCGCCCCGCGCCCGTCGAGACTTCCCGCCCCGTGGAGCGGGGCGACATGCCGTCCAGTTGCAAGGCATAGCGTGTCGCCGTGGCCGCCGCCAGGGCGCGCTGAGCACAAGATCTTGACTGCATCACGTTGAGAAGGGGGGCACCCTCCACCCATGCAGATGGTAGAAGTTGTTGGAAACGTGTCTGCGGCGTGTGAGCGAGAGCGCGATCGTGAAAAACAGCGCCATCCATCCGTGTAGTCCTTGGCGGCCTCACGCCATAGGATGTCCAGGCACAAGGAAGCCCCAGACAAGAGCCACATGTTCAGAAGATAGACGGCCTCAGTGTTTCGTAGGCGCTGGGAGTCTTAGGAGTCGGAAACACACAACACACGAGGGGCCTCAGGCGAGGCACCCGGATTGCGAAGGTATTGCGGCGGGGCCCGCCGGCCCTGGAAGGTGTCACCCAAGACGGACGAGGTGGCCGGACGCGCGCGAGGGGAGCGACGGCGGAGGCCTTTGCGGCTAGTTTGGGGCCCTCTTTGGGGCCTTTGGAGGCCTCTTGGGCTATCTTGACGCTCTCGTGGGCCGTCTTGCCATCCTGGGGGCTTCTCGGGCCATCTTGGGGGCTTCTTGGCTCAAGCCGTTTTGGCTCAAGCGGTGTCCATTGCAGGTCAACACATGCAGCTCTAGCCATGTCGGCACTGCTGATTTGAGAGCTTTTGTGAGTAACCTGGTCTGTGCCTTTTCCGCCTTGCTGAAATGTTTTTCCGGTCAGGATGCTCAGTGTCTCGCCGCGTATGTTCACCTCATGTGACTTCATCATTCGCGATCTTGGTGGGTACAGGTCCTGCTGCTCGACTTGTTTCGAACACGCCCGTGTTGCATCCGAGGTGCTCCATGGTGAGTAGCTTTGGCCGTGTGCAATACGTTTCAGGCTCAATCGGGTTGGGTTGTCTGCATCCAAGCGGCTATCGAGTAACTCGAGCAGGAGGCCGCCAGCGTTTTGTCCATCGTCTTGTGGCAGAGGCGTTTCTCGGCGATCCCCCATCAGTGCAGCACTGCCAGGTGAACCACAAAGATGGAGCTAGGGACAATAATCGCGTGACGAACCTGGAGTACGTTACACGCTCACAGAATGTCCGTCATTCGTTTTGTATTAACCCAAATAGAAGACATGGTGGACGCTTGCTTGCCAAGCCAGTATGTGGCAGATTAGTTGGGACAGATGTCTGGAACTGGTACCCATCGATGTCTGTGGCTTCGCGACAATTGAACGTACATAGGTCAAATGTTACATCATGTTGCATAGGATCGATGAGGCAGATTGGAGGCTACGAGTTCAAGTACGCAAACGTGGATGTGATGGATATTGCTCCTGGTGAGCAATGGAGGCAGGCGGTGCACCCAGACACGGGAGAAAGTCTGTTGAATTGGATGGTTAGCTCTGAGGGCCGAGTACAATCTTCAAGGAGAATTGTTGGCTTGGGCACTCGTTGTGACTCGGGCTATTTTAAAATTCAAGTCAATCGTCAGAAGATTAGTGTACATAGGATTGTGGCCCGTGTGTTTATCGGGCCGCCACTAGATCCAGAGCATCGTGAGGTCAACCACGTCGATGGCGATCCGGGTAATAACCAAGTTGGTAATTTGCAATGGGTTTCACGGCAGGAAAACATAATACATTCTTATATGACGAATGAGACACGACTGAGGGGCCCGATGGCGATGCGCAAAGCTGTTGTAGCGCAGCATCTGATAACCAAAGAATCGATGGAATATCCATCTATCAATGATGCTGCACGCCGTCTGAGTTTGAAATGTGGGTCCGTGTCGGCGTGTTGCCACGGAAGGATCTCACGAACAGGCATGTACACGTTTCGATTCGTTGAACATGCCCCCACATATCTTGTAGGTGAAGATTGGCGACCAATTCATGTTGCCACCAACAGCTAATTATTCTTCGTTGGCTTGCAACTTCCTTTGAAATTCGAAACACATCGACCGAGCCTCGGTGAGAGGCTACCGGTGACCAGCGAATCAGCCCACCAGGCAGAAGCTTGAGCATACAAGCCAAGAGGTTGTCAACATTTCGAAGGTGCGATGATGTTTGAATTGGCACCGCTGTTGACATTTTAAACGATTACGCCCAAACATGCACAGAATGTCCGACGTGTAGGTCTCCATGCAGAACAAAAATCTTGGGGGCTTCTTGGGAAGTCTTGGGCCCGTCTTAGGCCATCTCGGTGCCGTCTTGAGGCGCCTCGGGGCCCTCTTGGT